TTTTAGGTGAAAGTTTACACAACAAATTAGGTTGCCATTTAACAATTTTTACGCAAGTTGTTCCATGACACTGGTTACAATTGTCTCAATGTGTCAACATTCTCATTATTTCCATTCTTGTTTTCCTGTTTCCACTGATCTGGCTTCCGTGCCCCTCCTTGCCTTCTCATCTTTGCTTTTGGGTAAATGTTGACCGTTTGGTCTTATATAGTTGACTGTTTGAGGGAGCACAGTACTCATGAGTGACATTGTTTATTTTATAAGCCAATGTATTATTTGGCTGAAAGATGACCTCCGGGAGTGGCTCCAGACAGTTCTTGAGTAGGATCGTGATACAGAAAATATTGTAATGATGTTGTATTTGTCCTTTTTTTTTAGATGTGGCCGTCTTGTATATCATCTTGGTCTGCCTTATTCCTTTCTAACTTTTCCATATGTAGAAGGCGCCATTAAGATTGCTTACTGTGAAAAGAAATGTGGAAACTGCTCTCTCACGGTATTTTTTTCAAATATTCTTAATGGTAGAAAAAAGGAAATATTTTAAGAGCTATCTAAATAAGTTAGTCTTTCATGACCAATTATCTAATCAATGTTTCTGCTGGTGTACTAAAAAGAAAATACAACATTTACCTTTATAATTACTCACATTTCCTGTTATGTAACATATACTTCAAAACATCTTTTCAAGGTTCATATTGCTGCCTTTGTCTACAAGGATTTTTAAAAATAAAAATCAATATAGATTGCATATTTCAGTTACTACCAAATTATGTTGCATGAGAATAAGTGCTCAAAGAATTCAGTCAACATAAAATGTTTTTGTAATAAATTGAACATGTTCACACAAAAGCATAGTGATAGAACAGCTTACTCATGGAGTTTCCTACCATAGAAATGGAATTAAGAAACTACTTAATTTATCAAAGATGCAAACCTAAGAGTTGTGCTGTGAAGTCTTTACTCTGTCTGTCTACTCTGTAGTTGGAATTTATTTCAAAATGGAGTAAGTTACCTACTTGTTAGGAGAAGCACTATATTTAAATATCATTTATAAAAAAAGTACTCAAAAGAATTGACTTTAATTTGTATTAACTAGACTTTTTTTTTCTTCTCATATTGAAAAGAAAAATAATACCAAACAGCACTTCCTTGATAGAGCAAATTGGCTAAATTTTAACTCAGGTTTAAAAATGATTCTGAATTTTACTTGTAAGCTGTACTTCGTTCAGATTTTTCATAGTTCTAAAGAAATTCACCTCAAATTTTAATGAATCATTTAATAAATTAATTTAGTTCTTAAGGAGCAAAAATTAGTTATCTCATTTTTTGTATTTTAATCTTTATAATAATCCTGTGAGCGTTATTTTAGTCCTTTTAAAGATGAGGAGCCTGAGGTAATGCAAATAAGGTACTAACTCAATGTCTAACCTATAGTAAGTGCTCAATAAATGCTAGCAATATTGATTCCTCACATTTTGGAATTATTTCTGAATTTCACGTTTTTGTAAAGGTCTAATAGTTGTAAATATACCTAGTTATACTAAAACAAATGCAGAAACATTTCCTGTAATATGCTTAAAATTTATAAATCATCTGTAAATAGGATAATAGCCTATCTGCATCTGATATACCACATCAAATTAGAGTTTTTCTATTTTATCTTATCTAAGATGCCATCGATTATATGAAATGGTATTTTATGTATTACTTAAAATAAAAATGCTGCCAATTAAAGTAGGACACAATGCTAAAATACCATCAATAGTAGGGTGCATTCTGATTTTAGAGATACTAAAATGTGAAAAAAATGAATCAATGAAATATAGTAATTGGTTTTTCAAAACCAATTACACTGCTACAGCTATTTGTGTGGTTTAATCACTGAATGTTTTGAACATTTCACACTATATTTTAAACATTTATCAAATTGTTTATAAGTTTACAATAAAATATTATTAAGTTCTTATTTAGAAGTAATTCAGAAATAACCAAGAAATGAACTACTTAGTAGCTGTATGCTAAAAACCCAATGGAACTTATAAAATACTCAAAACCTCTAAAATATCAAACCATACCATTTAATGTTTTTAGTTTCTCAAATTGATTTTGTAATTTTATTTACAAATCAGCTTAGCTGAGATTCAGTATTACATTGCTGTACTGACAGACTTTGAGTTTGTGAGCTATGGGTGCTACGAAACAACCGAGTAAGACTTTCAGCAAATTAAAGACCTAACGTCATGCAGAATGTAATATTATGGTCAGTGGGAAACAGGCAGTGAAAAGCTTCTCTGGGCTGACGGCACTACAGCAGGGACACATTAGCTTTGGTGAAGTTTAAAACTTATCCTGGCATAGTCTGAGGTATAAGAAATCACCAGCTTTTAGCAGAATTTATTGGCATTTTTGAATTACCAGTGAGAAATTAGTTTGCTTCAGAATATGCACTAGATTAAATGCACTGTTGACACAGGTCTGAAAAGTTCCATGTAGGTTAACAGATTTTAAGATACGAAATTTGGTTGTCTTTACTGCAATCTAAGTTCTTTTAACAAGTACTTTTAACAAGTTTTGCTTCTGCAAATATAATTGCAGAGGTTTGGCTTTCTATTTAAGCCTCATACCCATTGCCGTCGAGTTGAATTCTGACTCAGAGTGACCCATAGGACAGAGGAGAACAGTCCCATAGGGGTTCCAAGGCTGTAAATCTTTTCAGAAGCAGACTGCCACATCTTTCTCAAAAGCAGCAGCTGGTGGGTTCGAACTGCCAACCCTTCAGTTAGCAGCCGAGTGCTTCACCACTGCGCCACCAGGGCTCCTTCTTTAAGTCTCATAAAACACCTCCTCCCCCTCCATCCCATTGTTGTTGAGTGGATTCCAGCTCATAGCGACCCTATAGGACAGAGTAGAACTGCCCCCTAGGGTTTCCAAGGAGCAGCTGGTGGACTCGAACTGACAACCTTTTGGTTAGCAGCCTGAGCTCTTACCCACTGCATCACCATGGCCCCTTAAGTCTCATACAGCTCTCAAATTCCTCTTCAGAATTTCTGAAGATTTAGAAATTGTTTTTGATAAGAAAAGCAAAATCTGAATTCTGTTGCTGAATAAGTTTAATTGTATTATATCCTATTTTATCTATCTGTAAAAGAGTAACATTAATTCGAGAAATGCTTTCAGATTTTTTGATTAAATGTGAACTTTGAACAAGAAACGCTTTAGCTATAGGTGTGAACCAAACTTGAATAAAGAGTCTAGATGTTGAGACTGACATCACACTCTTTTCTCATTATTATGCTGGTAGGGAAAAAACAGCCCGCTCAATATCAACCAAGTAGTTGGAATTTCATATATGTTAGTTCTACAAATTATTTTTTCATGCATTCCTGCTAAATCTATAATTTGGTAAGTGATTTATACATTTGTTTTAGACTCTTGAAGATGAAGACTTCTGTAAAAATATATCTTCGGCTAATGTGGAAGAAACAATTGAGGCCCCTAAGCCACATCACCATCATAGTCATCATCACAAGCATGGGCATCATCATCTTGGGAACCATCAGCTTTCAGAGAATCAGCAACCAGGTGATCCAGATGCTCCTCAGCATCCGCCTCCTCCAGGCCTTCATCACCACCATAAGCACAAGGACCATCAAAGACAGGGTCACCCAGAGAGCTGAGATATGCCAGGAAGTGAAGGTTTACAACTTTCCCTTCCACAAAAGAAGCTCTGACGAAAGGGATGTATAAATCAATTATTCTGCAAGTTTCTCAAAGATTCAGAATTGGCTCCTAGTAGCTGATGCTGACATTGTCGACATCTGATATTTGAAAAAACAGGGTCTGCAATCACCTGACAGTGTAGAGAAAACCTCCCATCTTTATGTAGCTGACAGGGACTTCTGGCAGAGGAGAACGTCATTGAATCTTGACAGTGACGTTTGCCTCCAGCTGCCTGACAGGCAAGTCAGCAGCTTAAGCCCACAGAAGCCAGCACCAACTGAAGCTGAAAAAATAAGGCAGAAATGTGAAAATGACCTTTAAACTAAATATTTTAAATAAGATATACTCCCCAAGTCAATCTGGACACAATTTTATTTCCAGCATTTTTATAAGCTACCTAGAAATAGTGATCAAAAATAGAAATCGGATTTGTGCAAACATGGAGAAATCTACTATATTGGCTTCCAAACTTTAAAAAATTTATGTCACAGAAATTTTGACCCAGGCCAAATTTGGTTATTACAAGGCAACTGAAAGGTGATTGCAGCATTTGGTCAGTATGTCTTTCTTCTTCTTCTTCCAGCATTCTATTTGCATTAATGAGAACAGAAACGTAAACTATGACCTAGGGGTTTCTGTTGGATAGTTAGCAATTTAGAATGGAGGAAGAAAAACAAAGACATATTTTCCATTTTTTTCTTTACTTATCTCTCAAAACAATATTATCTTTTTAATTTTACATTTTAAACTGATTAAAACCTTAAAGAAAGAAGGATTCTATATTTTAAGAGTCAGAAATACTTAACACATGGATAATTTGCTAAAAAAGCACACACAACTATGTTTAAAATAACCATTTATCCTTTATGTCTAAGACTCATATCTTGATTTTTAATATCATGATGAATGAAGCCTTTGTATCTTGTTTTCTTTATCTAGCACTATATCATACTCTTATAAAATTTCAGAGTGCCTGTTTTGAAAGATATAAAGGGAAAGATAAAAGAATGTTGTGTATCTCTAAGCTGCTTAGAACGTATTTCCATAGTCAATGATGGTTCAACAGGTAAACCAAGTCCTAGAAACCTGAACTCCTTATGGTTAATACTGTTAAGCAAGAATGGGGTACACAATTGGCCTACGTGGTATGGATTTGTTTAAATAAATACAATTTTAAAAAGTTTAAAGCTGTCTTTTTTTCATTGTTGCGATTAATATCGTAGTATGTTATATTGAAAATAGAAGTGAATTTTTCAACAGCTTTTAAAGAAATTAAATAACAACTAGTGAATTTATTGCTATACTCAAAACCGTCTACGCTTAAGGTGACAATCTTTGGCAATAGGCTTAAGGGGAGAAACTTTGCCAACAGAAAGGCGTTGCTCTAAGTCGCGAATGGTATTATGAAGAATAGCAATCTCCTTGTTTTTTTCTTCTTGAAGATGTTGAAGCTTCTAAATAAAGCAGAAAAACTTTGTTATTGCAGTGTAGAAATAACAAGATTAAGTACAAGGAACAGCAAAACAACAACAAAAATAGTTCTCATTTAAGTAGGTATTTAAAAAAGACCTTTATTTTGAAAGTCTATAATTTCCATTTTGAAAGACTTAATGGGTTACAGCTGCTATAAGGATTCAAAAACACCATTAACACCATTTGTTTTAGTTTATTCCCATCTTTCTAGAAGTCTTGGAGTTATAAACCGTACAAATAAAGGAGTTGAGCCAAAAGAAGTCTAAGTGCCTAAATAACTCCAAAACAGTTAAGTCAGCCTTAGTACAAAATATATTATGGAATTCCTTAGGAGGTCCAAATAGTCAGAGGACTTCTCTAATGTTCTAATTTACTACTCAGATTTTCTAATTAAAATGGACAATGATTTTTTTTAAGATTATTCAAAATCTAATATCTTTCTGATCGTATGTATTTTAAGAAACAACTGTTAAATATCATATTGTTAGTAAATACTAGATAACTTTTATAGAAACACATTAAGAAATTTTATTTTCTTCAGCAACAGTCATGGTAGAAAAACTCACATACCCTTCTGTAGATACTCTGTGGTGAAACAGTAGAGTCCAGATATGATTTTGTTGATTTAGTTTGAACTCTTGCTAGTTTGGCATCAAACTGAATCAAGTGGAAAAAAAAAAAGTCATTGAGAATATATAATAATTAGATTGTTTCTATAAATATAAGTATTCTCCATTATAGACTTTAAAATATAATCTGTGATTTAAGTGTACTCTATAACAGATGACAAAAACAACAAAAACTTTTGTTTAAGAAACAATTTTTCAGAAATCGCAAAGAACACCCAAACAAAGTTAACTCTGACTGCATATTAAAATTACCTGGGGAACTTTTTAAAAGTATCACATGCCTGGGCACTACCTTAGAGATTCTGGGGTGGAGCCAGGCACCATCTTTTTCTCAAGACACCAAGTGATTCTATCATGCAGCCAGGGCTGAGAAGCTAGTTTAACTTAAAGACAGATAAAAATATATCCACATTACAATGAATGCACTTTTAAAAGAAAATTTAGCATAAGCAATAGTCATGGGAGAGAAACTCACATACTATTCTGTAGAAACTTTGAGGCTAAACAGTAGAATTTGGATATGATTTTGCTGATTTAGTTTGAACTCTTACTGGTTTGATATTTTAAACGGAATTGAGTTAAAAAAAAAACCTGTCATAGGCCATGTATATAGGCCAATTCTTTTGCAAAACTTTCCATTATAATTGTTCCTTTCAGATTGAGTTTAACAGTGTAGCCTCCCTGAGAATTAGGAATAAGCTCTCTGTGAGATTGTGTCCTGGTTGGGGAAGGAGATGGACAGTTACAATGAGGATAAATAACAGAAGAGGAAAGAGTTCTATATACCACTTAAATAACAGACTTGGGCTACACCAGCGTCAGGGTGCAGATGACAAACAAGATGCAAATTCCCAACCAGTGGATTAGAAGTGATGGTAGATCTTGAAACATGGCCTGTCGTATCCCAGCTGGCCAGCAACCCTCCCTGTGGTTTGTGGGTACACTCAGCCAGAAGGCAATAGAAGCAGCAAAGAGCCCTCAAAGTCAGCATCAACGCCCCTTCTGCCAAATGATTACAATCCTCAGCACGGTAACCCACCAAACACCCCAGGAATACCAAAGCTTCAGAAAAATGAAAAGTAAGACCTGTGAATTCTTACAACATAAGGTAAAGTGAGAGCTGAGGGGAAGCAATTGAAGAATTACAGAATTAGAGACTGGTACAATCTAGACAAAAGATATAGTCCGAGTATTTTTGAGAGTTTGACATCTGGTTAAACAATCTACTTAAAAGGCTTTAGAGCAAAGGAATGGAACCTCAGCCTTTGAGATGTATATACTGTTATAATCCCAATGGTTCAGTCTTAGAGCAGCATCATTGTCAAAACAAAACAAAAAGAAAAGAAAAAAAAGAAATAAAGCTACCTGGAAACAAAAGGAATTTCAAATTAGCTCAAGATATTTACTAGCATTTCTTAAAAATGGCAAAGTCTAAACACTTTCTTCTCTTAGTCATAGCTATTATATTCTTCAGCCACTTTAAAACATCTCCCATCACAGTATCTTGCAAAAACTCCTTCAATGCCCATCTCTGCAGTTTTTCTCCCCTTCTCCTCTTTCCATACTTTCTCTCTTTGTTATACAGACAGACCTAGCCTCTCTCTAACAAAAATAATCCTCTTTTGGAACGGAGAAAAGGGATAAAATTGAGCTAGCAATGACAAAATTCTCTCTGGGAAAGAAGGGAAGGTTTTGAACACTACCACATCAATGAATTAGTCTATTATGTCACAGCTATTATTAATAATAGTACTTTACAGGTACACTACTATTGCTTGTGATTTCTTTCTAAGGTTTTCAAACGAAGTATCTTCCCTGCTTCACATAGTTAAGGATTAAGTTTAAAATGTTAATATTAATGATTTTTTTTTCTGGCCAATTGTGAATATTTACCCTGCAAAACTGGATTTAAGAATCAGTCTTCAGTGAACGCATTTATTTAGGATGCCATTTGCAGTTATTCACCAAGAACTGATGGAAGAACAAAATGTTCTGATGGATGCTACAGATTTGAATGCCACAAGCATGAAGACAAATTTCTATAGAGGGTGACTTCTTATCACAGTGGTTCCATGTTACTAAATATTTTAAGAGAAAAATCTGATATTTAGTAAAGCAAGGTAGATTCTCTTACCTATAGTACCTCAATGTATAATGCTATCCATTCTTTTGCTTAGACCCATTTCTTTCTCTTACCTTACCTTATCATTTTGTAGAAACGTAACTCATTGCAGTTATAGAAGACTTTTATAAGACTGGGTTAAAGTGGCACCTTCCTTTTTGTCCCTCTTTCTGCCATGCTTCCTAGCCAACTTTTTAATCACATGGTTACAGATCTGAGAATTCTCAGAGGCCATAGCCCTTTGCCTTAGCTGAAATCATCAGTCACTACCATTGGTAGGCTCAGCCCAACTCTGAGGAATAGCTGGCCCTTATGTGTTCAATAAGAAGGGAACCTAAAACCGGATGCTAAAAACCAGGACAAGGACTGAGGGCATATAGTCCTTATCCTAGGACCATGAGTGTGCTGTTGTATGGACCTGCCTGTACTTGCTCCTAAGAGCAAACACTCCTCCTTTCCCTCACACAGGTGTCACTTTCATTCCATATCTATGTGCCCCACTACTTCCTGGTTTTCCTATCTAGTCTCTATTCCTTATTTCTTCATTTAATAGTCTGGCTCTCTAGACCTAGTAGCTAGGGGCCACTAACCACATGTGGCTACTAAGAAATGGAAATATGTCTAGGCAACTGAGGAACTGTGTAAGTGTAAAATACACATTGGATTTTAAAGAATTAATACCCCCCCAAAAAAGGAATGTAAAATATGTCAATAATTTAAAAATATTGATTATATGGTAAAATAATATTCTGAATACAGTAGTTAAATAAAATGCATTACTAGAATTATTTTCACCTGCTTCTTTTTACGTTTTTGAATATGGCTACTAGAAAATTTAAAATTATATATTTGGCCTGATTACATTTCTATTAGACAGAGTTGCTCTAGAGCCTGGATCCATGTTTTTATACTGGCTTCATGTCTGTCTTTGCTTCTTAATAAAGTAGATATGCAACCTAAAATAAATGGGGGCCCAACACAATGCCTCACCCACAATAGAGACTTTAAGAAATTGGCTCCTTTTTCTTCCCTTTATTGCCTAGCCTTGCTTTCTAGCCATGGACCTGGGTTCCAGATCTGGATCTCACCCAACTGCCTGCTTCTTTTATTTAACCTGATGGACCAGAGAGGCCTCTTGTTCATGTCACGCTGTCTGTTACAGCCTGCGACCTTGACTTCAGGGCCTGCCCTTTCCTGGCTGCCATATCTCTCTATGCTTATGGCTTGGTAATGCAGACATTCTGCACTGAGTAGTGGTCTCTAAAGAAGTAACTGCCACCCTTTAACTCACCATTTCCTTTACCTCTGTCCACTAAAGTTTCCCTCAGCTGACCCCAGTGATCCCCTCACTTGATCTCTCTGGTTCAGCTCAGAACATGAACAGGCAGAGGCAGCTCTGACAGAGGCAGCAAGTATTTAAACAGTTTTGGCCACATGTCCTGCTTTTCATGCCAACTGTCTTCTGTTGGCCCATGCCCAGCTTACAGCTCTTGGCTTGCCTTTCATGCCAAGTCCTATTACCTACACCTACATCTTCATCGGTCCTTGATGTTAGACAGAATTTGAAATACTGTACAATCATACCCAAAAGAAAGATACGCATGGGCTTTGGAATCAGAAAAATATCAGTTCAGCTACATATCAGCTATGTGACTACGGACAAGTTACTTAATTTCTCTGAATCTCAGTTGCATCAAGAATAAAATGGGAAAACTGGTATTTACCTTATGGGCAAGTTATTGAGAACAAGTGATAAAACAGATGTGACGTGTTCGGCGAAGCACTCATCACTTAATAAATATTCAAATAATATTAATAAAATAGGAATAGAAGCAATCATGTTTTCCTGAGGCCTGTGGCAATTCTCCCCTCCCACATTCTGGATAATGCTTTTTTATACTTTTTAGGATCAAATAAATGTTCACTTGGTGGCAAGGAGTGTCCAATCTCTAAAAATCAGAATGAAAGGTATCGTGTAATTTTCTATAAACATTTTATTTACTGTTGCTAAATTTCTTTCAGATATTTGGTTTCTTGATTGTCACAAATGTAAACAGTTAATATACATACTTACTAACTCAACGTGACTTTTTGTATTATATTGTTATGGCAGATCTTTAGAAAAATCTCCAAATGGGGTCTGAGACTTCTTGTATATAAAGATTTTTCCTTTCTTAAGGCTAGATAAGGATGATAGATCTATTTTTTGTAAATATGTTGCCCCTAGGTTGATGCACTGTTTTCCCATAATGAATATTCCCTATTTGAAGTCCCTTTTAAATTCCTTCTGAGAATCTAGTTTGTCTGCCTCATGATATGTATGTTTCCACAAATATATTAGGGAGAAATTTGTCTCTTTTTATCCTAAATAAAGCAAAAGGAATTTATAATTGGTTCACCAGGGCTCCATAATTTCTGCTGACACTCTCCTCACTCTGGAATAACAGCCCTAAAAAACCTGTAGAGACTTGGCTGTAAAATGCAGGTAATCACTGAGCGATTGAAGGAGTCCTGGTGGAGCATGGTTCAGCACTTGGCTGCTAGCCAAAAGGTCAGCGGTTCGAACCCACCAGCTGCTCTGTGGGAGACAAATGTGGCAGTCTGCTTTCGTAAAAATTACAGCCCTGGAAACCCTATGGGGCAGTTCTACTCTGTCCTACAGGGTCGCTATGAGTCGAAATCTGCTAGATGGCAGTGGGTAATGGGTTTCCTGAGTGATCTGTCCCCACTCTCGGAGAAAACTCCCTCTCTGGAAACTAGGACCTTTTGAACGACTGAAGACTCCCACCTTCAGGCCAAGTGCTAAAAGACAGTTGTGTGGTGTTTGAGCTCCTGGGGAATGATAGCACGTGAAACCTTTTCACAGGGTTCTTTCTAGTCCTGAAATTTATCTCACTGTGATGAAAAATAAAGTATGGCCTAGAATAAGGGATGCACTCTTAGTTTAGCAGACCCTTAAACACCTACCTCTATTTGTAATTTGATTATTTCATTTTGTTTTTCCTTTTCTTGATTTCTTAACTTTGCATTTAACTCTGAAATTTCCATCTCCTTTTTCTCTATCAGTTCTTTGTGCTTTTCTTCATTTAATTCGACTGAATACAACAAAAATAAATAAAATTCATTCATTTTAACATGTAAAAAATCTTATAAGCATGTATTTCTTTAATATTTTAAAAAGACACATGAAAATAAAGTTTATTAATGAAAACATATATTTTAGAAACAGTATACGTCAAGGTAACTTTATACACTTCTGACAAGATTCTGCAAAATTTTCGAATCACAAAGGTCACCCACCAAACGCTTTTGAATGAATAATTTGTACTCTTAAACATCAATGGCCTAGAGAATAAATAGGAGACTTAATGGTTAAAGAGAGATACAAAGCTTGGGTTTCTAGGTTCAGGCTCTAAATTACCGATGAATTGAGCTCATCAAGCCCCTGCTATACTCTATCCCATAAAATCAGGCATCTCTCGTATTCCTACAATGTCTCTATGCTTCATCAGATTTCCTCTTCTCTCAGTTTTCCTATTCCTGTTAATTACACCATATCATCTAGGGTGAGAAACCCAAGGAAATCTTTGATTTTAGGCAAAAAAGAATGAGTCGATTAGTCCACCAGCCCCACAAATAAGGGACTTCCATTCACAACTAATTTCTACTCCTGCTGCTTACTTAGTTTCAGGTCTCATTTTTTCCTCATCTGGACTGTGTTTAGGCTCTCTATCACCAGTATCTACCTCCTACACACTGTTGCCAGTTCCGTCTTTCTAAAGTACATCTCTAAATATGGCACTCACCTTCTCAAAAACCCTCAGTCACTTCCCATTTTACTTAGCCTGACTATTCAGGGGGTCAAAGAATCTGGCCCTAGTCACAGTTGGTGGCCTTTCTCTTGCTGACCTTTTTTGTGTAGTGCAAAGAACAGGCAGAAAGTGAACTATTATTCTCTAACACGCTCCATGCCTTCCGCTCTGAATGCCATGGCTTTTATTTTCTCTCGGCCTAGAGTCTCTTCTTCCCTTCTTCATCAGTCAACTTACTCGAACTTCAGGGCTTACTATCAGGGCCCTAGTACAAAGGTGTCACCTAAGCTTGGGACAAGGCAAAGTCCAGAAGAATGTATTTAGCTATCCAAAACCTTAGAGAAAATGATTCCATCTGGTCTCTTTCTGTACCCATTATGTGCCAGAAGGCTGCATTGTTGAAGATACAAACGCAGAGAAGTTGTGATAAAATAAAACTAAAACATTGAAATGGATCAATCTTTGAATACTATATTAGAAGACAGACATGGTATCAAGATCATGCTGGCTTTATGAAATGAACTGAAAAGTGTCCTTGTTTTTGTGTTAATCCTCTGAAAAACCAAAACCCATTGCCGTCGAGTTGATTCCGCCTCATAGTGACCCTACAGGGACCCTATAGGATAGAGTATAACTGCTCCATAGGGTTTCCAAGAAGCACCTGGTGGATTCAAACTGATGACCTTTGGGTTAGCAGCAGAACTCTTAACCACTACACCACCAGTGTTTCCAATCCTCTGAAAGAGCTTGTGTAAGATTGGCATTATTTCTTTCTGAAATGCTTAGTAGAATTTCACCAGAAAAGCCATCTGTCTTAGTTAGCTAGTGTTGCTATAACAGAAATACCACAAGTGGATGGCTTTAACAAACAGAAGTTTGTTCTCTCACAGTCTAGGAGGCTAGAAGTCCAAATTCAGGATGCCAGCTCCAGGGGAAAGCTTTCTCTCTGTTGGCTCTGGGGGAAGGTGTTTGTTATCAATCTTCCCCTGGTCTTGGAACTTCTCAGCCCAAAGACCCTGGATCCAAAGGATGCGTTATTCTCCTGGCTCTTGTTTCTTGGTAGTATGAGGTCCCTCTATCTCTCCGCTCACTTTTCTCTTTTATATCTCAAAATATTGACATAAGATAAAATCTAATCTTGTAAATCGAGTCCTGCCTCATTAACATAACTGTCTCTAATTCAGCCTTATTAACATCATACAGGTAGGATTTACAACACATTGGAAAATCATATATGATAACAAAATGGTAGACAATCACACAATACTGCTGGGAATCATGGCCTAGCCAAGCTGGCACACATTTTTGGGGGATACAATCCAATCCATGATACCATTTGAGCTTGCAGTTTTCTTTGTGAGTTTTTTTTTTTTTAAATTATAGATTTATTTAATAGGCATAGTGTCCTTTCAAAATTTAGCAAAGTTGCATCTCACTGTAGTTTTAATTTAGTGGCTAAGAGTTTGGCTACCAACCTAAATGTTGGCAGCTCAAATCCACAAGCCACTCCTTGGAAACTATGGGGCAGTTCTACACTGTCCTATAGGGTTGCTATGAGTCAGAATGGACTCGATGGCAACAGGTTTGGTTTGGTTTGTGTTTACAGACTGATTGGAGTTGTTGAGTGGTACAAACGGTTAACACACTCAGCTAACCAAAAAGTTGGAGGTTGGAGTCTATCCAGAGGTGCCTTGGAAGAAAGGCCTGGCAATTTACCTCCAAAAAATAAGTAATTGAAATCCCCATAGAGCCCAGTCCTACTCTGACACAAATGGGGTCACATGAGTCAGAACTGATTTGATAGTAACTAATTATGTTGCGTATCTTTTCATGTGTTTATCTCCATCTTTATATTTCTTTGGCAAAGTGTCTGTTCAAATATTTTACCCATTTGCTTATTGGGCTGTTCACTTCTTATTATTGAGTGGTTAGAGTTCTTTATATATTTTGGATGCAAGTCCTTTATTAGGTATGTATAATGCAAATATTTTCTCCCAGTCTGTGGGTTGTTTTTTTATTTTCTTAACAGGCTGAAGAGCAGAAGTTCTTAATTTTGATAAAGTCCAAGTTATAATCTTTTCTCTATTGTTTGTGCTTTTGTTTCTTTCCAAAGAAGCTGTGCCTACCTCAAGGACACAAAAATTGGCTCCTATCCTTTTTTCTAGAAGTTTTATAGATACAGGTTTGACATTTAGACCTATCATCCATTTCAATCTAATCTGTGTATATCATGTGCCTAAAGATAGACTCATTAAGAAAGGTTTTTAATACTCATATGAAATCAATTAACCTCTACATATGTTTGACATATGTTAATGAGCCCTGTTTTACTGAAGGAAGTAAATTTCATTATACATTTTACATTAATTTTATGGCACTGTTTCACATTAAATAATATTAAGTGCAAACATCATGAATCCAATTCAGAAATGCTGTTGTTTATATAGAAAGGTACAAAAACCTAAATTAAAATGCATCAAGGAAATATTCATTCAAGAATACTGGCTGTTACTGAAGAAAGTTTATATACATATTTAAATTGTTTGGTGATGTCTTAGAATCCAGGAAATTAAAAATAAAAAACTTGCCTTGTTTTTGCATGTTCTGATAAAGTTTCCTTATTTCTATCTTATATCCCTCCTCTTTGATTTTCATTTCGTTCACAAGTTTGGCAATATTATTCTTATATTCCTAAAGATTAAAAAATGTAATAATTTTTCAATTTAAATATGTGTACACAACTTTTTGATTAATTAGAAAGGTAAAATTCTCAACCTTTATATGTAATCATAAATGTAAAGAGAAAGATACTGTTCATTGTTTGAATAATCGGTTTTGAGAAGGACCAATTTTGGCTTCAAGGGGATAGAGACCATAGAGGGACAATGTCTTTTTATCTTTGCATCCTGATCCTCATCAAAAGTGTTTAACATAGCATGGATATAAAAATATTTGGATTAATTGTATGAATAAGTGCTATAACAGCATTAAAATATGTCCAATAAAAGCCAAAGCTATGCCTTTGCCCCAAGAGAAGGCACTGTCCCATAGTCACTAAGCTCACCCTAAGGCAGGATGAGACCCTCTGAATGTAGGCTGACCTTGTTTCTGAAAATTCTATAAATATTTCTAATTATCAGTAGAAGGTTAAACACCACCCATGTCAAGGGTTAGCTTTATGAGAAGAGGCTAGAGAGGGATGTATCAACAGTAAGCAATTGCTGCTCTGAGAAACAACAAGAGACAAATCTATGTGTCCTTCCACTCCCCACTGACGTTGCCACCTGAAGATGCCGTCACTAAAGTGGAATGTTTCCATTAATTCTGCAGGACTCAGGATTTTCACTCCAGCCACCAGGCATGAAGACTGCCCTAATGTCTGGTCTGGGGCCAAGCTCTAACTCACTAGGTCCGTCTCCCCCACTGTAGCTTGTGCCAGCCCTAAGGAATTTATTAATCCCTTCCTTTTTGTAGGGAGAACAAGTCCTAACAAGTTATACTTGGTTGCTCTCTTCTCATTTGCCTTCTAGGAACTTTGAATTCCAAGGGATAGCCTCTGGTTGTATTTGTTTTACAAAACTTTTAAGGATTGTCTGTATACAAGTTGCTTTTCTATAACTGTTACTTAAAAATAAAAACAAACACAAAAACTCTTCCAGTCCCATGAATATGGCCACTAAATACCTCCTTTGTTTGTTCCTAGGGAGGTGGTTTCCTGTGTTTTGGATGTACCTGGAGGTTTTGCACTAGAAAATTCTCACTGGATTGAGGTCATCTTTAGTTTTCTTTAGACAGCAGCTAATTAAGAAGTTTAGATTCTTGGGTGGTGATATTTTGTATTTCATTTCTGCCCCTCTGAAAATTCCTACAGTATTCTAGACAAAGCAATATTCTAGGGCTTGAAGTTTTAGAAGGGAAGGGAGGCAAAATTTTTCTCCTTCTATCCCTGCCCTAATTATACCTGACTTCACCGTCTATTGTTTCTTTGAGCTTTAGAGGCAAGATACAGAAAGGATAGGGAAAGAATAAAGGAAAGAGGAAAGGGAAAAGAAAAAAAAAAGAGGAAGTGGGATGCATTCCAGAAACATTTAATCCACCTGAAAATTGGTGATGAATAGTTAAATTTTCCAAGAGCACAGCCAGATGCTATTCCTTACACCTGACTATTACCCAGAAGTGCAGGGGAGGGTTCCAACACTAGCTTCTGTCTTTTCAAAGTCTCTTCAGATGAGGAACCAGACTGAATTTAGGCATCATCCTTCAAGTTGAAGTTCTAAGCCTGATATAGATCCAACTTGAACTTTGAAGATATTAGGTGTGCCAGAGTTTGACATATTGGCTCTTGGGGGGTGTCTTAGGCATCTAGTGCTGCTATAATAGGAATACCACAAGTCAATGGCTTTAACGAAGAGAAATTTATTCTCTCACAGTTTAGTAGGCTACAAGTCCAAATTCATAGTATCAGCTCCAGGGGAAGGCTTTCTCTCTCTGTCAGCTCTGGAGGAAGATCCTTGTCATCAAACTTTCCCTGGTCTAGGAGCTTCTCCACTCAGGAACCCCAGGTCGAAAGGATGTGCTCTGCTCCCAGTGTTACTTTCTCAGTGGTATGAGGTTCCCCCACTTTCTGCTTGCTTCTCTTTCCTTTTATCTCTTATAAGATAAAAAGTGGTGCAGGCCACACCCCAGGGAAACTCCCTTTACAATGGATCAGGGATGTGGCCTGACGAAGCCGTTATATCCCACCCTAATCCTCTTCAACATAATCTAATCTTGCCTCATTAACCACAGGCAGAGAATAGGATTTACAACACATAGGAAAATTACATCAATCACAAAATGGAGGACAACCACACAATACTGGGAATCATGGCCTAACCAAGTAGACACATATTTTTGGGGAACACAATTCAATCCATGACAGGGGGAATGACAAAAACTTAGCAAAATAAATTTTCCAAAGGGCACAGGGATGGGAACTGACATTTACTGAGCACCTTTTATGTTCCAGACACTGTATTACAATTGCTATCACTATACTGTTCTTATAGAGAAAAGGAAAAGTAGCAGAGTATAATTGTGCTTCTGAGGAACCTGTACATAGACCAAGAGACAGTCATTTGAACAGAACAAGGGGGATACTGCATGCTTTAAAATCAAGAAAGCTGTGCATCAAGGTAGTATCCTTTCACCATGCTTATTCAATCTGTATGCTGAGCACATAATCTGAGAAGCTGGACTATATGAAGAAGAACAGGGCATCAAGATTGGTGGTAGACTCAATAACAACCTATGATATGCAGATAACACAATCTTGTTCGCTGAAAGTGAAGAGAACTTGCAGCACTTACTGATGAAGATCAAAGACCACAGCCTTCAGTATGGATTACACCTCAACATAAAGAAAACAAAAATCCTCACAACTGGACCA